CATGCCAGCCCCCCCCCCCCCCTCCAGGGGTGATGGGGATGGCCATGGTGGCCAAGACACGAAGGGGCATATCTGGGAAGAGGGACGGGGAGAGGGAGACACTGTGTACCTTGAGGAAGCCATCCTCCGAGCCGGAGACAATGCGATCACCATCGAACTGCAGGCAGGTGATGGATCGCCGGTGAGCATTGGGATTGGTGCTGCTGTCCAGCGAGTAACGACGACTGGATTAATTAGATCGCGAACAGGCAGGGTTCCCGAAGAACAGCTTACGACTCTGGTACCTATAGCCGTCGCGAAGAGCAGGGTACATTGTATATATAGAGTCGAACACATGCAAACAGGTCCCGTCTAGGGGATTCCACACGCGAATGGTGGAGTCCTGCGAGCCGGATACCGCGCGTTTGCCGTCGAAAGCCAGCGAGTAGATGCGGTCCGTATGGCCAGTCATGGTGGCTGGGCAAGGGGTGGGAGGGGGGGGGGTCGAGGAAGACCCCATTTGGTGGTTGGTGGTTGTGGGGTTTTTTGTTGATTGGGGGTTTGGGGTGGGGTTGGGTGCGGGGGGGGGGGGGGGGGGGGGGGGGGGGGGGGGGGGGGGGGGGGGGGGGCATCCGCCGACAGGGGAAGGAAGCCCAGGGGGCCTTTGGTTAGAGGGAGAAGGGGGATCGGCAGAGGGGAAATGCAAATACATGCAGCGACAGGCAGCTGGAGCAGGGGAACACCTCGGCCCCCCTGGGGGGGCCGAGGAGAGAAGGCCAGGAGGACGGTGTGGGGATCATTGGAGGAAACGAAGCACGGGCACATGCCACACATGCGCACGCAAAGACGTCGGCACACGTACCAATGGGCCGTCCATTGACAAAATCCCACGACCGGACCGTGGTGTCGTACGAGCCGGATACGGCCACCTTGCCGGCTGCCTCGACACAGCGCACAGACTCCAGGTGTCTATGATGAGAGGATGCCCATCCTCCCCCCCGGGAGCGAGGAAAGGGCGATCGGGAAGGGCGGAGGGAGAGGGGAGCACAAAGATGAGCCGGGCAGTTTGGGTATGGCGGCGGGGGAAAAAGAGGGACAGGGTCCCGAGACGGTGCCCGGGAGGAGAACAAGATGCGGCAAGAACGCACCCCTTCAGAACGTGGAGCTGCTGGCCATCGTCCAGGCTCCATACGCGGAGGGTGTGGTCGCGCGAGCCACTGATGATGTGCCGGCCGATGACGCGCAGACACCGGACGGTCGACGTGTGGCCGGTCAAGGTGAAGAGGCAGATCTTACGCCGGAGGCACCAGACACGGAGTTTGCGATCGGTGGCCCCGGTCACCAGGAGGTCGCCCACGCGCTGGAGCGACCACACGCCGCCCTCATGCGAGTCGAAGGTGGCCACGGGCTCGGAAGTGCGCGAGCACCACACCTTGACCGACCGGTCATCCGACCCGGCGATGATGTACGACTCGTCGATGTGCAGGCAAGTGATGACCGACTGGGTCTTGGGGCTGAGCTTCTGCGCTTGGAAGTTGCCGGTCAGCCAGTTTTCCGAGATCAGCGACAGGTAGACGAAGTATTCGCGCCAGAAGGCGAACTTGTTCTTGTCGGTGCGCTCCAGCAGCTCGCGCGGAACGAGCCCCTCATTACGGATGAGGCTTTCCCAATAGTAGTCCAGTGACTCGATGAGGCGCCGCCAGGAGGGGCTGGCATAGGGCAAGGCCACCAGGGTGCGCGGCTCGATCATGGAGAAGATCTTGAGGGCGATCTCGGGCGGCAGGGCCGTGATGAGGTCGCGCTGTGGCCCCATGGGGGCGTGGTGGGGAGGAAGGAAGACCATGTGTCAGAGGAGGGGGGGAGGGGGGGGGGACTTACAAGCGCCGGCTGGCCGGCTGGCGAGGAGGTGAGCCACCGAACAGGCGGGGCCCAAACATGCGAACACACCTTCTGGTAGGGATGCAGTGCCGTGGTGATCACCTGTCGCTGGGCTGGCTGGCAGTGGTCGATCAGCGACCGGAGGGCGATGCTCCGGACCAGGTCATCGGACAGTGAGTGGAAAAAATTCAGGAACGACTGGACCTGGGCTTGGACTTGTGGCATGGAGTCCATGTTGTCCAAGATGTCCACGCCACCGCCGACCGCCCTCGGGAGAGAGGGCCCGCCCTGGCGGCCATCCTGCAGGAGGTAATGCAGCTGTGTTTCCGAGGTTAAGCGCAGATCCGACACCGAGGAGGAGGAGGTCCGGGGCGAGACTGGCGATGCGGGGCGAACAACTGCTTGCCAGGTGGGGGGGGAGAGAGAGAAAGAAGGGGAGAAAGAAGGAGAGAAAGAAGGAGAGAAAGAGATCAGTGGCGAGGGAGGGGTGAGTGAGGGTGCGGCGAATGGTGAAGAGAGACGCAGATGGTGGGAAGGGGCTCTGAGAGGGATCGAAAGAAAGGGGCAGAAGCAGGGGGAGAAGGGAAAGACGCACTGGCTGATCCGGCGAAGCGCTGCTGCGTGGCACTGGAGGCGCTAGCCGGGGCAGATGGCTGGACCCCGGTGGGGGCACCCCCGCCGGGCGACTCGTGAGTCCGCTGGAATTGGAACGGCGGAGACAGGGTCCCAAGGGGCGGCGTGGTGGCCGTCGTGCGAGCTGCCTCATACTGGTAGGAAGTGTCCATCTCGAAGTCGTGGTGGTGGTGGTGGTGGTGGTGGTGATGGAGGAGGTGGACCGGGGCCGAGGAGGCGGCCGTGGCTGTCGCGGCCGCCGTGGTCACCGTCGGAGGGGTGGCGCTGCCGCGGGTGGCGCTGGTCGAGGGGGGCTGAGGAGTTGGAAGAGGAGGCCGAGGGACGAAGCCGTCAATGAGGTGGTTCTCTCCCGCCATTGGTGCGACGAGAGGCTCAATGACTAGCGGGCTTGGTAGCTCTTCGAGGTGGTCTATGTGCGTGCAAGAGAGAGAGAGAGAGATAGGGGGAAGGGAGGGAGAGCATGAGGCAAACAATTAAGCCCGGCGGGGGCGGAGGAAGGAGGGACGCGTGAAAGCGACCGGTGTGAGCAAGCCATAGGGAACCGGCAGCGAGGGAGGAGGAGAGGGCGCACCGGAGGAGGGCTCTATAGCAGGCTGAGAGGCGGTGGGGGGGGGATGGTCCGAGAGGGAGGGGGAGGAGAAGGAGGAACTTCTGTCGATGAGGGGTGACGAGTGACGCCGGCGCTTGGATGGGAGCTTATGCGAAGAGAAGCGCCGCATAGCAGAAATCCCCCTGCATGCGAGCCAAGGCGGTTAGCAGGAGAGTTCGAGAGCGGGATGGACAAGAGGGAGGTGCGAGAAGGGGCAGCCGGGGGGGGGGGGGGCGCCGGCGCGTACGAGGTGATCAAACAAGGTCTAAGTCGATGGGGAGAAAGCCGAGATGTTCATAGAGACGGCGTGGACTTCGCGGTAGGGGAAGGATATGCTGGGGAGGAGTAGGGGGAGGGGTGGGGGTGGGGAGAGGGAAGTGGGGGGGGGGAGAGGGGCAATGGGGCAAGTCGCGATCGGGCCCAGGGAAGAGCAGGGGTGTCGGGGCAGCGATCAAGCGAACAGAGGGGGCGCAGGGGAAAGAAGGAGGGGGGGGGGGCGGAGATCTGTGCGGAGCTTGTGCATCCAGCCTGATCCGGGGCCCCAGCAGTTGAGATTGATCAACGAACCTGGATGTGTGTGGCCCTCTCCCTTGGCCGGTGGGTGCGCCCGAGAGGGACTCCGTGCCGGGGCTGGGACTGGGCGCGCACCTACATGCGCAAGACAAGCAGTGCCTCCATCACCGGAGGGGGGGG